CATCATATCCTTTAGGACACATGTGCTGTGCTGTGCTTAGTCGCTCAGTCATGTCCACCTCTTTGAGACTCTATGGACTGTAGCCCGCCAGGCTCCTCTGTCCGTGGGGATTCTCCAGGCAAGAATACTGGAGTGGGTTGCCATGCCCTTCTCCAGGGTATCTTTGAACCCAGGGTTCGAACCCAGATCTCCCGCATTGCAGACAGATTCTTTACCATCTGAGCCACCTGGGGAAGCTTAGTACACATGTGACTCTAAGTATTTCCCTGAATTCTGTGAGCCACTCTAGCAAATAGTGGAAGCCAAGCAGGGAGGAGGTCTTGGGACCCTCCAATGTGGAGCCAAGTTGAAGCTGTGAGTAACAAGGGGACATACTACTTGCAGTTGGCATCCGAAGTGTGTGTGTGGGGGGGCAGCCTTGTGGAACTGTGCCCTTAACCCCGTGGGATCTGATGCTATCTCCATGTGGTAGCATCAGGATTCAGTTAAATTGTAGGACACTCAGCTAGTGTCACAGAGAATCACTTGGTGTGGGAAAAATCCCACACACATCTGGTGTCAGAAGTGTGAGTGTTCTGAGTAAAGGAGGCATAGAGGAGAAAAGATTGGGTTTTTCAGCGCAGGCACTGCTGCCTGAGAGCTCCCTGGTAAGTCAGGGCTTAGGCTGTCAGCTGCACAGTCAACCAGTATTGGGGTGTGCAGCAAGAGGCTGGACAGACATGGAGTTGTGTGGAGTAGCACAGTGGTGCCCAAAGAAGAGGAGTGGGCAAGGTGACCCACTGGGATGCTGGAAAGAACAGTAACACGTGTTGTGAGCTGGGTAGCCCCATAAGGAGACCCTGAGACAAGGATTTGAGTGCAAGTAGTTTTATATGGAAGGTGAAGAAAACACCGGTAGGGGGTGGGCAGGATGCCAGTCAGTGAAGTCTGCATTGTCAGCAGGCTACAGGACTTCCCTGGTGGTCCAGTGGCTCCTTGCTCCTAGTGCAGGCGGTCGAGCTTCCATCCCTGGTCAGGGAACTAGACCCCACATGCTGCAACTAAGAGTTCACATGGCATACCTAAAGATTCCGGATGCTGCAACTAAAGATCTTATGTGCCACAATGAAAAGCGAAGATCCTGTGTGCTATAACTAAGATCTGGCACAGCTAAATAAATAACACTTTAAAAAAAAAAAAAAAAAAAACCTTACCACTGTGGGCAACTGGAGTTTAATTGCCCTGGAAAAAACTCTGAAAGCCTGTGTAAAACATGCACCTCAAAGTTATATCCCACAGAGGGTGAGGGAGCTGGGTGTCTATAGTCCAACTTTGATTGGCCCACAGCTCGAGAGCAGCTCCTGCAGGGTGTTAATTCCATGGCTCTTCCAACCTTCCATGAAAGGAAGCCTTCCATGGCACCAGAGAACCTTCTGCTCCATTGTAAGTAGATGTCCCTTTTCAGTGTAAGTGATGTTGGTAACACACAGTACTTTGGTATCTCACAGCAAAGTACTTGAGAACCGCCCAATTTAAAGTTGTCACACAGGTTTTTCTTATACTCCTAACTTGCTGACCTTATGGTGACAGTGACTCTGAGTTATGTGGTAGGTTAAAGATATATTTTTACATTATATTTACTCTATAAGATAAAGCAGTCTTCAAACAAGTTTTATTGTCTATATTTTTTTAACTTTTTAATTTTGTATTAATTTTTGATTTACAGAAAAGTTGCAATGACAGTGCAGAGTTCTCTTATCCCCTTCACCCAACTTCCTCTAATGTTAACATCTTCTACATAACCATAGTGAAGTGAAGTAAAGTGAAAGTCACTCAGTTGTGTCCGACTCCTTGTGACCCGATGGACTATACATCCCATGGACTTCTCCAGGCCAGAATACTAGAATGGGTAGCCTTTCCCTTCTCCAGGGGATCTTCCCAACCCAAGGATCAAAGCCAGGTCTCCCACATTGCAGGCAGATTCTTTGCCAGCTGAGCCACAAGAGAAGACCCATAACCATAGTAAAATGATCAAAAATAAGAAATTAATATTGGCATAATATTAACTCAACCACAGACCCTACTTGAATTTCACCCATTTTAACACTAACGTTGCTTTTCTTTCCAAAATCCTGTCTAGGTTCTTACATTGCATCTAGTTGTTTTCTCCACTGTTGTGGCTGTTGTTCACTCACTAAGTCATGTCAACTCTGTGACCTCCATGGACTGCAGGACACCAGGCTTCCCTGTCCCTTCAGTATCTCCCGGAGTTTGCTCCTTAGTTTCTCCTAAGCTGTAAGGGTTTATTGAAATACAATTAACACACAATCAACTGCACATATTAGAAGTGTACAGCTTGGTTAATCTTGACATTTGTATGGATATACACAATTGTTTCTTCCTTGGCCTACTGATGAACGTTTGGGTTGTTTCCAGTTTGGGGCTACCACACATAAAGTAGCTAGGAACATTTCTGTATAGTCTTTGTATGGACACATGCTCTCCTTTCTCTTAGGTAACTCTCAGGAAAGGAATGGCTGGATCATGTGGTTGGTATACGGTTAACTTTTTAACTTGCCAAACTGTTTAAGAAAAAACAACTCATTTTTAAAATTTAGACTTGGGCGTGGTTTCTCCTTACTCTCCTGGGGTTATGATTTTCCTTTCATGCTGGTTGTAGGGCAACCTGAGATCTCATTTTGGGGTCTGTTCCCCCTTACACACAGTTATTCATTCTTTTATCTTAATTCTGTTGTTAAGGTCAAGCAAGTGGTTAATCTTGTTCCATCATTTTTCTTTGATAATAAACTATCCCTGAGCTTAGTGGATTTTGGTGGGGTTGGCCACACTGCAAGGCATGTGGCTCTTAGTTCCCCAACCAGGGATCTAACCTGCACCCCTTGAAATGGAAATGAGGAGTCTCAACCACTGGTTCACCAGGGAAGTCCCTTGCCAAACTTTCCCAAAGTGGTTTATAACACATAGTACTTTGGTATCTCATGGCAAAGTCCTTTATCAGATATATTTTCTCCCATTTTGTGGCTTGTCTTTCCATTCTCTTAACACTGTCTTTGAAGAATAAATTTTAAAAATTTTAACTAAGTCCAATTTAACAATTTGTTCATACCGTACCAAAGTATGATCTATAAAAGAACAAATACCATCGACCCTTGAACAGGATGGGAGTTAGGGTTTCTGACCCTCTATGCAGTCAAAACGATGTGTAACTTTAGAGTCAGTCCTCTGTATCCATAGACTGTCCCACAGCAGTTCACACTTAGGGAAAAAAATCCACATATAAGTGGACCCACACGGTTCAACCTTTATTGTTCAAAGGTCTATTGTTAATTTATATCTAAGAAATTTCTGCCTAACCCGAAGTCCAAAAGTTTTCTCCCCATGTTTTCTTCTGGAAGTTTTGTAGTTTAGGTTTTACATTTAGAACTATGATTCATTTTGAGTTTTTTTTTTTTTCTATGCTGTGAGTCACTGATCACAATTCAGTTTTTTACATATTGATATTTGATTGTTATAGCACCATTTGTTGAAAAAACTATTCTTTTACCACTGAATTGCTTTTGTACCTTTGTTGAGAATCAGTTGTCCGTAGATCAGTGGCTCTGCTCCTGGATTCTCCATTCTATTAATCTGTCTACCCTGATCCCATTCCACGCCAGGGAGGAGTAAGGTAATGTTTGTCCTCCAGGTTTATTCATCTTCTTCAAAGTTATCTTGGCTATTTTCTGTCTATTGTTTTTCCATATAAGTTTTAGGACCAGCTTGTCAGCTTAAAAAATATTACTGGGACTATGATCAGTATTGAATTAAATCTATAGAGGATTTATGGGAACCGACATCTTAAGAACAGAGTCTTGTGATCCATGATTATGGTATATCTTTCCTTTTATTTAGGTCTTCTTTAATTTCTCTCAGAAGCATTTTAAAGCTTTCACTGTACAAATCTTACACATCTTTCATCAGTTATACCTAGGTATTTCACAGTTGTGATGTTATTATATATGGCATTTTCAATTTCTATTGCTAGTGTACAGAAATTGTTGATTTGAGTATATTGATCTTATTTCCCGAAACACTGCTGACTTATTAGACCTAGTGTGAACCTATCACACTATCAGCCTTTTCGAGGATTAAACAGGATTTTTTTTTCAGTAGACCTGTGAATAACAGCAGTTTTACTTCTTCCAAAACAGTCATTTTGACATGAGTGAGGAAGTAACTGCTTTTCTATAAAGCACCCGTGCTCTTAAGGGTGTCTGAAGTATTTTTATCATTATGGGGGTCTTGTGACTGAAGCCGTGAACCTGTCTCCTTTTCCCTAAGAACAGCACACTCCTGCCATCCCACCCAATCTCTCTCTGTTCGAAAACAGTGAGGGCAGAAGCTCAGGATACTGTGACCAACTTGTGCAGACCTACCACTGGGCAAGACTGGCATGCCCACGAGGTCTGACTTGAGGGGTGTATCTGATTGTTCCCAATGGCTGCACGTTGCCAGGAGGTCAGCAACTTCCTCATGGCATTTGGCCCTGCCAAGCTTCCAGAAGCATCCTGGGATAGAGATGGAGTATTCCCCAGAGAGGGCATACAGCCGCTTTAGGACATATGCTACACTCTCCCAACTCTCTTTGGATTTTACTGAACAGGGAGTCAAGCATTTTGGCTTTAGAACAGGAGGGGTTCCAAGAGGGTCAACCACATCCCACCCCTTTAGTCCATCTGCTGTCTGGCTCCCGTGTTCATGTCACTGGCCGATTTGAATTCTCAGGATAATCGATCTCTGGTATCAAAAGATATCTGGCCTTGCTGTCCCAGAAAACACCATGACCTTCTGGTAGGTGTCTCCAGCAAAAGTGATCCCACCACACCTCTCCCCCTTCTCCCAGGCATTCCCATGTGTCCTTTCTCCAAGACTCCCCATTCCCACTCCTACCCTCCCACCCCCAGATTTGTCTTCAGGTTTCAGGTCCTCTGGTCACTGCAGGTTGTCCTTCATGGGCGGCTTTAAGGATCTGAATTATGATCCACAGTTGGCACACACTTCCCCTTAGTAAAAGGTGTGATTCTTTCCCTTTAAAAAGACACAAAGAAAGAGAAAATGAAACTGGTCCCTTGGAAGGATGTGAGCCCCCCCATCCATGGAGAGGCACCCACAGGGGAGGAACAGGTACCTATTGGTTGTACTTCCCAGGGGAATCTACACTGGGTGAGGGGCCAAAACTGATGACCTCTAGAGTTTTCCCAACAAAACAGCCTAGTTTTAAGGACAGCCCTCTGCTATGCACCTAGTTTGGCTCATCAGACCCTCCAAACTGGTTTGTAAGAACTTCAAACACAAAATCCTAGTGCCTAAAAGATCATTCCAATAAGGACAATGAGGGTCAGAAAAATGACAGAATTTGCCTAAGGTCACCCTGATGCCCAGAATTCCAGCCCAGAGCCCCTGACCACAGTCTAGCATTCCTTCCATTGCTCGAATTCTTTCCTAAGAGTGGAACACGGGAAGACTCTCTGGTTCACTGTCGTAACCATTTGGAAGAAGGCATTTCATAAGAACTCCTTGCTTTGTGGGTCTAACAGTGTCTGCCGGCCATTATGGCATACACGTGTGTTTGCTTGTTGTCTGTCTTCCCCACCAAGACGTAAACTTGATGAAGGCAAGACTTCGATTTCTTTATTGATATTTCTTCTGTATTGTATTGCCTACACTGTTTCAGGCGTGTCCACAAATATCTGTCAAAGGAAGGAAGGCAGGAGGGAGGGCTCAGAGGGTCAAAGAGGCCTTTACACCCATCTGGTGGGTCTCCATGCCTTCTGCTTTTCACTCCTCCCCAGTCTACTGCCCCTGGCCTGTTCAGAGGCTCAGCTCTCACCCGACACTAAGCCTCCTTGTCTCCGTCCAGCCCCATCCCGCTCCTCCACCCACAATGCCACAGAGTACCTCTTTAAAATACAAGAGCTACTTCCTGTTAAGCCCCTTTTGAGTGTCCAAAAGAAAATATTTGCAAAACACATACCTGATAAAGGATGTATGCCTAGAATATATAAAGGACTTTCAAAACTTAATAGAACAAAATAAGAAACCATTTTTAAAAATGTGTAAGAGATATGGATGAAGTACAGGAAAAGATGGCCAACATCTTGTCATTAAAGAAATGCAAATTCAAGCCACAAGGAAATACTCCTATTAGGTTGTCTAAAGCTGGAAAATAAAAGGGCCTTATAATACCAAATGTAGGACAATTAGATCCTACATATATTTTTGGTGGAAATACAAACTCGTACAACCATTTCAGAAAATAGTCTGGCAGCTTTTTATTAAGTTTTAGATATATTTACCAAGTGAGCTAGATATCCTGCACTAGATATTCATCAAAGAAGAATGAAAGTATATGCCTACATGAAGACCTATATGGGACTGCTTGTAGAACTTTATCCAAAATTGCCCAAACAGAGAACAACCCAAATGTCCCTCTCCTTGAAAGTGTATAAGCTGTGGTACATCCATTCAATGGACCATAAGTCAGCATTAGAAGGGAACAAACTGCTGATACAAGCAACAACATGGATGAACTCAAGAACAATGCAAAATGAAAGATACAAAATTCTATATACAGCATGATTCCATTTATATGACATTCTGGAAAAGGCAGAACTATAGTGTTGGTAATCACATCAGTAGTTGCTCAGAGTTGGGAAAGGGGGAGGAAACTGACAATAAATGGCACAAGGAAACTTTTGAGGGTGATGGTAATAGTCTATATCTCGCTTATTTTGATATGACTATATACATTTGTCAAAACTCAGAACAGGAAAAAACTTATGCAGCTGTATACCTTAAAAGGATGAATTTTACTGGCTGTAGGTCGTACTATTATAAATCTCTTACAGAAGTCCTTCTGTGGCTTCTCACAGGTCGAATAAAGTCAGAGCAGCTTAGCTTCAGAATCAAGGCCTTTAAGAACTGACCTAGCCAACCCCACCTGCCTTATTCTCTGCGATTGCCCTTTACACACTGCATACATCATCCAAAATGAACTGTCTAGTGTTTTCCAGACATGCCCTGAGATTTTTTGCTTCCTTTCCTTTGCTCATGCACTTTCCATCACTCTAATTTTTTTCCTCCTCCCTGAAAGAAGTGAACCCTCGTGCAAAGAACATAGCTAGGAGCCCTGGGGAAAGGGACTCTGCACTGAACTTCCTGAGTCCCTTGTCCAAACTTCCAAATCTCCCACCAAAACAGCATGCACAGAGGCCTAGGAGGTAAAAGGGAGTGACCGGGTATGGACAGGTGGGATGAGGAAGAGAACGCGGATTATGGTGAAGGCTGTTTGTTGCCTTAGCCTTCCTAGGCTCAAAAGGTCCTCCCTCCTGGTCTCATCCTCCAGAAGCCTGTAGGCTTAACAGACTTCCCCTACAGCCTGGATGTAGAAAAATCCTGGGCCCTCCTGCCTCCTCCTCCTCCTCATGCTGCCCTATAACTCTAGAGAAGGGGTTGAGTGTCCTCCCCAGAAAGCTGGGAGCCTCTCTGGAACAGAACTGCTGTCTGGCTGATTCTATTCTGCAATGTCCTAGTAGCCAGGATACACCTGGCATTTAGTAAGTGCTCGATTAACTTTTGAAGACTGCACACATGAATGCTATTGCCCAGCAGCAACTTTAGGAAATCCCATTCTCTCTCTCTAAATTTCAGTGGTCCCAATTGAAAAATATTGAGAGTAATTCCTAACTATTAAAGTTACTGAATGGACTTCCCTGGTCCAGTGATTAAGAAGCTGCCTTGCAATGCAGGGGACATGGGTTTTATTCCTGGCCAGGGACATAAGATCCCACCTGCCAAGGAGCAACTAAGCCCAAGCACCACTACAAGTGGTACAAGCTACAGAGTCCATGCACAATGAAAGAACCCACATGACGGAACAAAAGATCGTCATGCTGCAACTAAGACCCGACACAGACACAGAAGTAATGAAAAAGTATTTAAAGCTACTGTGTACAGTAAATGCATATAAAATCACTTTGAATATTATAAACTCCAAAATATAAGAATTTATTATTATTATTACAAAAATTGATTTTTATGATTTCAATTTCAGATTCCTGGACAAGGAATGGGACTTCAGTTTGAATTGTTAAAAAGTCAGTGTGCCTACTCAAGTGACTAGGAGGAAGTATTGATGTCTGCCGTTCACTTCAAATTTTATCAAACTGTAAGATAATTATGGGGAGGAACACGCAAATTTGGCCTTGGAGTACAAAACAAAGCAGGTCAAAGACTAACGGAGTTCTTCCAAGAGAACACACTGGTCATAGCAAACACCCTCTTCCAACAACACAAGAGAAGACTGCACATGGACATCACCAGATGATCAACATCGAAATCAGATTGATTATATTCTTTGCAGCCAAAGAAGAAGAAGCTCTATACAGTCAGCAAAAACAAAACTGGGAGCTGACCGTGGCTCAGATCATGAACTCCTTATTGCCAAATTCAGACTTAAATTGAAGAAAGAAAGGAAAACCACTAAACCATTCAGGTATGACCTAAATCAAATCTCTTACAATTATATAATGGAAGTGACAAATACATTCAAGGGATTAGATATGAAAGACAGAATGCTTGAAGAACTATGGACGGAGGTTCGTGACTTTGTACAGGAGGCAGTGATCAAGACCATCCCCAAGAAAAAGAAATGCAAAAAGGCAAAATGGTTGTCTGACAAGGGCTTACAAATAGCTGAGAAAAAAAGAGAAGCTAAAGGCAAAGGAGAAAAGGAAGATATACCCATTTGAATGCAGAGTTCCAAAGAATAGCAAGGAGAGATGAGAAAGCCTTCCTCAGTGATCAGTGCAAAGAAATAGAGGAAGATAACAGAATGGGAAAGACTAGAAATCTCTTCAAGAAAATTAGAGATACCAAGGGAACATTTTATGTAAAGATGAGCACAATAAAGGACAGAAATGGTATGGACCTAACAGGATCAAAAGATATTAAGAAGAGGTGGCAAGAATACACAGAAGAACTATACAAAAAAGATCTTCATGACCCAGATAACCATGATGGTGTGATCACTCACCTAGAGCCAGACATCCTGAAGTGTGAAGTCAAGTGGGCCTTAGGAAGCATCACTACAAACAAAGCTAGTGGAGGTGATAGAATTCCAGTTGAGCTATTTCAAATCCTAAAAGATGATGCTGTGAAAGTGCTGCACTCAAAATGCCAGCAAATTTGGAAACTCAGCAGTGCCCATAGGACTGGAAATGGTCAGTTTTCATTCCAATTCCAAAGAAAGGCAATGCCAAAGAATGTTCAAACTACTGTACAATTGCACTCATCCCACACCCTAGCAAAGCGATACTCAAAATTCTCCAAGCCAGGCTTCAACAGTATGTGAATCGTGAACTTCCAGATGTTCAAGCTGGATTTAGAAAAGGCAGAGGAACCAGAGACCAAGTTGGCAACATCTGTTGGATCATCGAAAAAGCAAGAGAGTTACAGAAAAACATCTATTTCTGCTTTATTTACTACACCAAAGCCTTTGACTGTGTTGATTACAACAAACTTTTGAAAATTCTTCAAGAAATGGGAATACCAGACCACCTTACCTGCCTCTTGAGAAATCTGTATGCAGGTCAGGAAGCAACAGTTAGAATTGGACACAGAACAACAGACTGGTTCCAAATAGGAAAAGGAGTACATCAAGGCTGGATATTGTCACCCTGCTTATTTAACTTATAGGCAAAGTACATCATGCGAAATGCCCAGCTGGATGAAGCACAAGCTGGAATCGAGATTGGCAGGAGAAGTATCAATAACCTCAGATATGCACATGACACCACCCTTATGGCAGAAAGCTAAGAAGAACTAAAGAGCCTCTTGATGAAAGTGAAAGAGACGAGTAAAAATGTTGGCTTAAAACTCAACATTCAGAAAATTAAGATCATGGCATCTGGTCCCATCACTTCATGGCAAATAGATGGGGAAACAATGGAAACAGTGACAGACTTTATTTTTTTGGGCTCCAAAACCGCAGCAGACGGTGAGTGCAGCCATGAAATTAAAAGACGCTT